AAAACCAAGACTCTGGAGGTGAAGTCACATGGCTAGCAAGTAAAGGATCTGGGATGCAAGCCCCAGTTTTATTTCCAGATCGCTTGCTTCACAGCACTTAGCAGAGTGGCATGTCTCTATGGGCCAGTCGGAGTGTGTAAGGACTGAGCCTTCCCTTAAGGCTCTTGGAGATTTCTTGGTGTCTGTGCAGAACCCTGGGATACTGTGTAACTGAGGCCTCTGGGAACCTCGAAGTCCATCTGTCTGTGCCCTCCACAGTTCTCAGGTTCCCAAGGGAGATTTGCAGGCAGTGGTTCTCAGACTCGCATGTATCAGCATCACCTGGAGGGCCTGTTAAACCCCACCCCACGACTGCGCCCCACCCCCAGCATTTCTGATTCAGTGGGTCTGGGGAGAGGCCCAAGAATTTGCCTTTCTATTTAGCTCCTAGGTGATACTGATGCTGCCAGTCCGGGTGAGGAAGGAAAGAGACCCTCTCATATTGTTTTATACTCAGTACCTGTTTTAAGAAAAAATCAAGTAAAACCAAAGACAGGCAGCCCGGCGCCAGGCCCGGAACCAGGCCCGGGTCTGCCTGGCCTAAACCCAGTAGTTAAAAATCAACTCATGACTTAGAAACCGATGTTCCTGACATTGTACAGAAGAACACTGTGAAACTCCCAGCCCTGTTGTGTTTCTCTCTGACCACCGGCGCATGCAGCCCCTGTCACATACCCCCTGCTTGCTCAAATCAATCACGACCCTTTCATGTGAAATCTTTAGTGTTGTGAGCCCTTAAAAGGGACAGAAATTGTGCACTCGGGGAGCTCGGATTTTAAGGCAGTAGCTTGCTGATGCTCCCAGCTGAATAAAGCCCTTCCTTCTGCAACTCGGTGTCTGAGAGGTTTTGTCTGTGGCTCGTCCTGCTACACGGGGTCCACACTGAAAGCCTCTGTTGTAGGAGATGGTGAACTCCAAGAGAGAGTTGGAAGTCGGCTGAAGGTCCCAGTTATCTGAATTTATTCCCCTTTACCCCAGCCAGGGTCACCCTACTCCTCTGAGAAGGGGACGCCAGAAGCAGGAATCTCACCTGGGAGGTCCCCACCCTCTGATGAAACGCACAAGAGTTGCACCAAGGACGTCTGGGAAACAGGGAAATCTAAGCCCTTGCTCTTGAAGCAATTCCCGGTTCTTCCGCCCTGAGTAACTCAGCATCTTGGAGGTTGCCAAGAACCGTCGGTCAGCGAAGGTGTGGGCCAGCTGTCACAGGACAGAGGTGAGCTGGGCTGAGGATGGTGAGCAGGAGGCTGGCTGTGGAGGAGGAGGAACTCCCAGGTGAGAACCTGGTGCGCAGACTGAACTGACAGGGAAGATACTATCGCCACTCCTCTCAGAAACTCCTCCCATGCCCCTAATTCTTCAACCCCTGTTCCTAGATTCTGCAGAGCCCTCAAACCCCGCCCATCTCCACATCTGGAATTTAGGGACATGCTACCCACTACCTACTCTTGACTTTATAGGAGTACGGGGAAGCTTTTCAGGGGTTATGTAATTGTGCCTTATTTTAAAAGCGAAAAGTATTAACACAGTGCTTAAGTGCATGGCTTCTGGGGCCGGACTGCCCGAGTTCAAAGCCCAGCTCCACTGCATTGCTCAGTCTTCCCCTCGCTTTCCTCTTTTATGAAATGGAAGTCATAATAGTAGCTATGCTTGGCTTTACTTTAAAGATTAAATTAAGGAAGACATGCAAAGTACTTAGAACAAGTCCTGTTATATAGTAACTACTATACAAGTATTGTCAGTGTCTTTTTTTTTTTTTTTTTTTTTTTTTTTTGAGACGGGGTCTCGAAGTGTCGCCTGGGCTGGAGTGAAATGGCACGATCTCAGCTCACTGCAACCTCCGCCTCCCAGGTTCAAGCAATTCTCCTGCCTCAGCCTCCCAAGTAGCTGGGATTACAGAAGCCTGCCACCATGCCTGGCTGATTTTTTGTTTTTTTAGTAGAGACAGGGTTTTACTATGTTGGCCAAACTGGTCTCAAACTCGACCTCGTGATCTGCCCGTCTGGGCCTCCATATGTGTTGGGATTACAGGCGTGAACCACCGCACCCGGCCAGTATTTTAATATTATTATAACTAGGTTAATATAATCTAGGCTTGCATTATATGTTAGTGGCAGAACCAAAAAAAGAACCCAGGCCCCATGACTGCCAGGCCATTGTCCACCTGTCTCAGTTAAGTCGAAACAAGTTTCTTAGTAAAAATATATATATATATATTCGGAGACGCTGAAACCAAAGGAGAACAAATCTTTTTCTTTTTAAAATAGACTCCCTTAAAGCACACTTATTTTTGTTGTCAGAGGTTCCTGTTAATTCTTTAACCTCCAGGAATTAAAAATATACATAGAAAAGTAAATGAGCAAGCACACCTTTGTAAGTTTTTGCTGTGTCATTTTTTATGCTTTTTATTATGGAAATATTCAAAACATAGAAAAGTCAAATGATATAATGACTCCCAGGTACTTGTCACAGCTCCAGCATATGGACAATTTTATTTCTTCTATATACCACCCCCCCAACACACACCCACACACACTCTCTCACACACACACACACACACACACACGTATACACTTTCACCATTACTACCTGCCTCTACTGGATTATTGTAAATTAAAATATCAATCAATCAGACAACAGACAATTTAGCCTGTAATATGTGTGGTAATAGGACTGATGGCATGACATCTCATCCTTTGTTGTAACATGATTGTTCAACCAGGTCTTTTTAGTTGGATTTCGTGTGGTTTATATTTGTCTGCTGTTAAATCCAAGGAGGTTTGTAAGAAACAAATATTTACTTTCCCCAGTGAAAACCCTGATTCTGTTAGCTTCCAGTGGTTATACCAGGGTTATAAGAGTCCCCTGTGCCAACTTCTACCTGCCACTTCTGAAGGATCAAGAGAAATTTTCCCATAGTTCAGCAATTTGCCAGCAGTTGTCTGTGGATTTCTAGGCATGTGCTATGAGGACCTTCAAAGTGGAGCGTATTTCTCATGACTTCTTTGCTCCTTCTCCCTCCTACAGCTCTGCCTTCACATTTCTCTAAACTTTTGCAGGAGCAGAAGAAAATGAACACATCCCTGGTAAATTATTTACTTATTCGATTTTTCCAGTGAAACTTAAGAGCTACTTTGCCTTTTTAGTAACCATGCTTTTTTGACCATTTTTTCTTCATTTTTTTACTTCCTGACTTTTTTCCTGCATTATTTTACTTTCTTTTTCTCTCTTCCAGTGGTTTTGAAAGTCTACATTTTATTTTTTTTCTATAATTGATTTTCATTGATTACTGTTGATGTGTTTAACATATTTTTCTATCAACATCAGAATTTTTTTCATCGGTAATATACCTAAACAAGATACACTCTTCTGTCTTCTCAGGTTTTGTGGAAATCATTTAAATGCTTTTCTTTTTCATCTTCTTTTTATATGATAAATATTTTTTTGAATCCTCTGCTAATTATTGCATCATGCCTTCCAGCTACTAGAATATTAATAATTTGTATTAGAATATATATTTTCTGTTTTTTAGGTTAGTTTTATTTTGTTTTCTTTTGTTTTTGAGATGTAGTTTCGCTCTTGTTGCCCAGACTGGAGTGCAATGGCACAACCTCGGCTCACTGTAACCTCCACATTCCGGGTTCAAGCGATTCTCCTGCCTCAGCCTCCCAAGTAGCTGGGATTATAGACATGTGCCACCATGCCTAGCTAATTTTTTGTATTTTTAGTAAAGACGGGGTTTCTCCATGTTGGTCAGGCTGGTCTTGAACTCCTGAACTCAGGTGATTTGCCTGTCTCGACCTCCCAAATGTTAGGATTATAGGCGTGAGCCACCATGCCCAGCATTCTGGTCATTTTTCTTGTTCCAAGTTTGAAGATAGAGTGGCAAAATTGTAACAGTCGGTCAGCTCTACTATTACCTACAATTTAGGTCTGCATATTATGTTCCATTCACTGTTAAATTCCTTACTTGGATTAGCTCATGTAATTCTGGCATCCATATTATGAATTAGGTACTTTTATTTCACCCTGTTTACTGAGGGCACAAAGATTTCAGTGACTTCTTTGGGTTTTTATTTTCTTTTAAGATGGACGCTCACTCTGTCACCCAGGCAGGAGTGTAGTGCAGTGATCTCGGCTCACTGCAACCTCTGCCTCCCAGATTCAAGCAATTCTCCTGCCTCAGCTTCCCGAGTAGCTGGGATTATAGTTGCCTGCCACCATGCCTGGCTAATTTTTATATTTTTCGTAGAGATGGGGTTTCACTACATTGGCCAGGCCGGTCTCAAACTCCTGGCCTCAAGCGATTCGCCCGCCTCGGCCTCCCAAAGTGCTGGGATTACAGGTATGAGCCCCCACCCCTGGCCCAAAGATTCATCTTTATACTAGCTCTCTCTCCTGAGCTCCAAGACCTTATTATATGCAGCTGTTACCTGGACATGTCCACCTGTATGTTTCACACATACCTTAAGTATATATAACATGTCCCAGGTGTCTCTTTCTCTCTCTCTCTCTCTCTCCCCCCCCCCCCCCCCCCCCAATTCTTTCTCCTGTTGTGGCAATCCTAGGGTATGGTGCCAGCATCAGCCCAGCTGCTGTCATGATAATCTGAGAACAATGCTCCATTTGCTCTTCACTAGTTAATTCCATGTAGAATTAGTTCAGGCTTCTCAATCCCCACTGCTACTACATGAAGAGAGGTGGTCACCTCTCACACCAGTCTACTATCTTCCTCTCGAACTTCCCTTTAAAACTGAGTTTCCTGTAGTCCCAGCACTTTGGGAGGCTGAGACGGGTGGATCACGAGGTGAAGAGATCAAGACCATCCTGGCCAACATGGTCAAACTCCGTCTCTACTAAACATACAAAAAAATTAGCCGGGCATGGTGGCGCATGCCTATAGTCTCAGCTACTCGGGAGGCTGAGGCAGGAGAATTGCTTGAACCCGTAGGCAGTGGTTGCAGTAAGCTGAGATCGTGCCACTGCACTCCAGCCTAGCTACAGAGCGCGACTCTGTCAAAAACAAACACACACACAACAACAAAAAACTGAGCTTCCTGACCTTGACCCAATTGACACTTTGGGCCAGGTAATGCGTTGTTGTAGGAGCTGCTCTGTGCACTGTAGGATGTTTAGCGGCATCTCTGGCCTCTACTCACTAGATCCCAACCCCACCCCTCTTAGCCATGACAACAAAACTTGCTTCCAGACATTGCCAGATGCTCCCGGGGAGGCAAAATTGCCACTAATTGACAACCACTGCCTTAAAGCATTCTCCATTCTGCCCCTGGAACATTACTTTCAAAATGTAAATCTAGTTACATTACTTATTTGTATGTCCCCATTGTCCATGGAAGTAATATAAGTAAAGATGTATATACTCTAGAGAACTGCACAAGACAATCAAATTGTGCATGGAAAGAAAGTATTGGAATATCCATTTAAATTTGTTTTGTATCTTAAAAAACTAAGAAAGTTGTTAAGCTTTACTTTTGGTGAATGGCTGAGAGTTGTGTACATAAATAATTTACAAATACACTGAGGGATGCTCAGGGATTTTTACTAATGGGTGACTAAATACTTTGGAGGCCACTGGTCTGTAGGAGAAAGTCTAAAATCCCTCTGACCACACAGCACCTCTCTTGTTCTTTATCTCCGAAGTCCCCAACCTTATTCTTCTAACCCACGGTACTACCTTGTAATTCCTTTCATTTGAGGTGTGTGTTCATGATCTGCACCTTGGCTTATGCTGTTGCCCTGTGTTCACACAAAACTCACTGCTTGTGTACAATCAAATGTTACTCTCCTTGATAAAGAATGACCTGAGAATTAATTTTTTTCCCTCTTTGTGACCTCCTTCTACCTTGACCACCCATTTTTTCATGGCTTCCATAATTCATTGTTGCATGTGTATGTTTGTATAGAAAGTCTCTTCATCAGTCTAAAGAGTCTTAAAAACAGGACCAGCATCTTCTTTGCCTTGGTCTCCTCTGCAACTAGAACAGTTCCAGACATGTAGAGGAAACTCCAATTGTTTTATGAATTAATAAGTGGATTTGTAAATAAGCATAAAGGCCTAGTGTTTTTATTATGATTTATGTTTCCCCCATAAAATATAACTGAAGGAAGGTACATGTCAGACAGCCTTTGTAACACTTCCTTGTAAACTTTGAACAATGAACATGGTAGGGATTAGTTCCCATACATATTTTCCATGGCATTGAGTCTTGGGCACTTCAGATGGAGCAGGATTGGACTATTACAGGGCTCAGTGCCATTTGAGGATGTATCTGTGGACATCACCCAGAAGGAGTGGCAGCTCCTGAACCCTGCCGAGAGGCTCCTGTACAGGGATGTGATGCTGGAGAACTACAGGCACCTGGTGTCAACGGGTAAGCCCAGCTTCCCCCATGCAACTCCCAACAGCATGCAGTTCCTATCTTAGGAAGCAAATTATTGTAGAGAATGATGAATTTCATGTTTGAGATTTGGGAGTCAAGACTCTTTGAGGGTACTTTGAAGAATATTGTATTCTTACTTCCCTGGTGAAAGGGTCTACTTTGATGAAGCACATTGGGACACCATTATTGTGTAGCTTCTAGAGCTTCTCCATTCTTGTTCTCCTTCAGAAAGCCTGAACCCTAAGCAATTTTTCCAAGTCTCCTGTTATTTCCCGTAACAGGGCACTGTGTTACCAAACCTGAGCTGATAGTCAAGTTGAAGCAAGGAGAAGAATCATGGATATTAAAGAGAGAACCACCAAGTCACAGCCACTCAGGTGAGTTGAGGTCAGGTAGAAAGAAGCTGGGGGAATTAGATCCCAGGTGGTCAGTCCAGGTGTTGGTATCTTTGAAATATATTTTAGAAATCTCTTTTAGAGGCTCCAGGCTTTTAAAAGTAACAGAATAAAGATGACCACCATATCTTAGATGTCAAACCTCCAAATATTCTCATATATAAAGGTTTTTTGTTTTTCTGTCTGACTTTTAGGAAGAGACTTTCTTGTTTTTTATAGAATCTGGTTGCTGTCTTCCTCATCCTAGACCTTTATGTCTGTTTTTCTCTCTGTCCGACAATGGCCATTGTTCACCTTCTCTCTGGTGTCAAACACTCTGTAAACATGCATTTGTTCATGCATTCCTTTATTTGACAAATATTTATTCGGGACCTGCTACGTACCAGTCACATTCTAAGCACAGGGGATACAGAAGCAACATCTCTACTCCTATCAGTAGATCCAATCAGCAGATGAATATGTATTAACCCAGGTAGTGATCAACATGCTGAAAAAGTCAGATGAAAAAGATACAGACTCCTAGAGAGTATTGTTTTAGCAAGAGGAGACAGGGGAGGCCTCTTTGTGGAGGTGAACATTTGAGCAGAAACAGTGGAATAGAGTTTTCAATGAAGGGATGGACTGAGCCATGGATTTTCAGAGAGCTTTCCAGGCCAGGGGAATAGCAGGTGCCAAGATTCTGAGAAAAGAGTGTGTTTGTAGTAATTAGAGAACAGCAAGGAAGTCAGTGGGACCAGAGGGCATCCAGCAAGGAGAAAGAAGCAGATAAGGTCAGAGAGTTAGCTGGAGAGAAAGCTTTATAAGCCGAGTAAGACTTTCAGTTTCACTGAGTGAGATAATAGGTAAGAGAATATGGCAAAGGCTATACCTTTTTTGTTTGTTTGTTTTTTGGGTTTTTTTTTTGTTTTTTTTTTTGAGATGGAGTCTTACTCTGTCACCCAGGCTGGAGTGCAGTGGTGTGATCTCAGCTCACTGCAACCTCCGCCTCCTAGGTTCAAGTGATTCTCCTGCCTCGACCTCCTGAGTAGCTGGGACTACACGTGCCTGCCACCATGCCCAACTAATTTTTGTATTTCTAGTAGAGATGGCGTTTTACCATATTTGCCGGGCTGGTCTCGAACTCCTGACCTTGTGATCCGCTTGCCTCAGCCTCCCAAAGTGCTGGGATTACAGGCATGAGCCACCACGTCTGGCCAAAGCTATACCTTTAAGCACTACATTTGGAAGCCAGGAAGACACAGGCCTCTAGCAAGGGAGACTAAGAAGGACCATCCAGCATGGTACAGGGAGAACCAGGAGAGTATGAACAAGGTCTTTTAAGAAGAAAGGAGTGAGATCCGATATGCAGATGGATGTGTAGAGTTCAGTATTGCCTCATCTTTTCCTGAGAGGTATCCACAAACCACAAGGAAAATATAAAACAAGATGTCCAACTGGAAGTTGGAGGCAGCTGAAATGCTAAGGCAGCTGAAATCCTTATAACATATATATTTTAAGGTGGAAAATCTGCCCAAAGCAATGAAAATCAGGCTTGCTTATAAAAGAAGAGGTAGAGAAAAAAATACTATGCAAACCAGCACTGTGGAAAACAGTGTTAGATATATTGTACAGACAATATTTACTTAGAAAATTTTCCTTCAGTGAAACTTAAAAGTGGTGAGGGATTACTTTTTAGACAATGGGACAGTAGTAGCATTGTTTTGAAGGATATCTAGGTTCTGAGGAGGACTAAGGACAGAATGTGTACTAAGTGGAAAACATGAGGGGAGGTTTGTGGTTGAAAATGAACAATTTTGGAATTATATAGCCTGATCTGATAGGAGCTAATACTGTAGACTTATGGGATGGTCATTTGAACATGTATTGTGAATTTAGGTGTAAGAATCTAGTATCAAATCTAAGCATTAAAATCTAATATCAGTTTTTTTTTGTTAGCATATTGACTTCTGTTTGTTTTATCTACTACAGAAAAATCCTAAGCTCTTAAGCACACAATTGGTATTATTGCATACAGTGTGAGTTGCAGAGGATAACAGCACCCATAGACAAAATTGTTAAGACAAAGATCAAAAAGGGTCCTTGGACTATGTTAGGTAGCCAGGTGTTTGCTTTCTCACAGAAAAGAGAAACCAAAGAGAAATAAAACATATAAGAGCAGAATTAAAAATTAAGAGTTGGCCAGGCACAGTGGCTCAACACTTTGGGAAGCCAAGGCTACAGGATCGCTTGAGGCCAAGGATTGAAGACTAACCTGGGCAATATAGTGAAATCTGCCTCTGGAAAAAAAAAAAATTATTTAGCTGGGCATCCTGGTGCACACCTGTAGTCTTAGCTACTTGGGTACTTGGGAGGCTGAGGTGGGAGGGTCACTGGAGCCCAGAAGTTGGAGGCTGCAATGAGCTATGATTGCACCATTGCACTCTAGCCTGAGCAACAGAGTGAGACCCTGTCTCTAAATAAAATTAAGACCAGGCACAGTGGCTCATTCCTGTAATCCTAGCATTTTTGGAGGCCAAGGTGGGAGGATCACTTGAGGCCAGGAGTTCAAGATCAGCCTGGGCAACATAGCAAGCTCCTGTACCAAAAAAACAAAACAAAACAAAACAAAGCGAAAATTAGCTGAATGTTGTGGCACACATCTGTACCCTCAGCTACTCAGGAGACTGAAGTGGGAGGATTTCTTGAGCCCAGGAGTTCGAGGCAATGAGCTGATTGTACCATTGCATTACAGCCTGGGTGACAGAGCCATATCCTGTCTCAAATAAAAAATAAAATAAAATTAAGAGTTGAAAATTTATGTCCATATAAAAACGTGCCCATAGAGATATATAGCATCTTTATTCATAATTGGCAAAACCTGGAAGCAACCAAGATGTCTTTCGGTAGACGAATGGATAAATAAACTGTGTAGTACCTCCAGACAATGGAATGTTATTCAGCACTAAATAGGAATGAACTACCAAGCCATGAAAAAACATGGAGGAACCTTACATGTATATCACTAAGTAAAACAGCTAATCTGAAATGAAAGGCTATATGACATTTGGAAAAAGGCAAAACTATGGAGACAGTAAAGAGATTAGTGGTTGCCCAGAGTTAAAAGAGAGGGAAGGATGACTAGGCAGAGCATAGATTTTTAGGGCAGTGAAACTATGCTCCCTAGTATTGTAATAGTGGAGACATATATATACACACACATTTGTCCAAAACTATACAATGTACAACACCAAGAGTGAATTCTAATGTAAACTGTTAACTTTGAGTGATTATGATCTGTTAATGTAGGTTGGATCATTTAAAACTATATACTTCTCTTGTGGGAGATGTTAATAGTTGGGAACTTTGTGCATATGTGGGGGCAGGGAGTACGTGGGAACTCTGCACTTCCCACTCAATTTTGTTATGAATGTAAAACTGATCTAAATATAGTGTATTAAAAAACAGTATTAAGACAGGGCACAAACAATTGGTAAAGTAAATCAGCAGATTGAAAGAGGGAAAAGTACGATAGGCCAACAGGACAGATTACTATTGATTAACTCTGATAGAATCAGCTGGTAGCACCAACAATCAGGATATAGAGGTGAAATGGATCCTGTTGCAAGTATGCTTGTCCTCTCATATATTTTAACATTCTGTTTGGACATTGTTTTTCCGTATCAAAACTGCATGGAGAGATGGGGCCTGAACTATAGGACTGAGCTTTAGGCCTGAGGAAATGAATGATTTGTATTTTTAATTGGTGTGCATAATGGAAGAGAAGAGAAAGATTAGAGGCATGTAGAGTGAAGTAAGAATTCTCCTTAAGTAATTAAGGTATAGGGAAGAGAGAGAGAGAAGGATCTAATCTTTGATTTGCCTCCAAACATAATCTGTGCTCTGACACTTCCTTTAATCACCCTTTAGTCTTCATTATCTCCCTATTGTGTCCCCTGTCTTTACCCCATGCTTTGATTATCCTCTATTGGATTAATCATTTTCCTGACTTCCTTTGTTCTCAGTTCACTATATCTTATTTTATTCTAAGATTTATCCATCTTAAGGTCATATTGTAATAAGCCAAAGCTATTTGTATTAATTTTTGACTTTGTCTCCTTTTTTTTACAATAGTGCATGTTTTACCTTTGCTTTCATATTACCCATCCAAAGACTAGAATAAATATTTGTTTAGGACTTCTGTTATCCCAGGATATTGTGCCTGAAACTGAAGAATCAACTCAGAATGCAGCACTTGCATACAACCCCCTCCTTAAGAAATGTGTTAAGATTTATAACATATGGTTAATTTTTCCTATGTTTAGAAGTCCAGAAAGCCAATAACATGAAAGAAGTCAAGAAAATAAAGACAAATAATTGAGGCAAGCTTTATTAATCAACAACAAAATACTGACTAAGAGAAGTAAAACCTTAAGGGAAGCGTTTAATATGGCCACAAACACAGTGCCCTCAAGAAAAATGTCCCATAAATGTGACTCATTTGGAACAAGCTTGAAAAGTGTTTCAGAAATCATTATTAATAATATAAACCATGTAAGAAAAAAAGTCAGTTGAATTCAGTAGGTGTGACTTCCTTGATATTAAGCATAATAAAACTCATGCAGAGAATAAACCCTGTGAAAATGATCAAAAGAAGAAATCCCCCAGTCATAATTAGGATTTTGTTCAACATCCGAAGGATTCATCTTTGGAGCAACTTCTTGAATATAATAATCGTGGGAAAGGCTTTCACAGAAAGATAGTCTTTGTTACATGTAAGAGAGCTCTCACGGTAGAGAAACCTTCAGAAGGAAACAAATATGGACAAGTTTTATCTCAAAGTTAAGGCTCAATTCTCGTCCAATAACCCTTAGGGAAAGGAAGCCATATGAGCCCGGTAAAAATGGGAAATCCTCATGCGTGAAGTCAAAACATGCACTCAAGAAATTCACACAGGGCAAAAACACTATGAAATCAAACTTTACCCAACATCAAAGAATGTACACAGGAGAAAAACCTGATTAGTGTAAAGAAAATGAGAAAGCCTTGAAGAAGTTATACCACACTCAAAATGAGAGAACTCGTGCAGGAGAGAAAAATCTATGAATGTAAGAAATGTGGGAAATTCTTTCATGAAAAAGCATGCCTTACTCAACATAAGAGAGCCCACACAACAGGAAAACCCAGCAACTGTAATGATAGTGAAAGAGTCTTAAAGAAGGAATCTTGCCTCACTCCCAATCAGATAATTAAAACAAGAGAGAAAAACTGTAAAGGTAATAAATGTGAGAAACCTTTCTTTGAGAAGTTGAAACACACTCAACATCAGAGAAAGCACTCGGGGAAGAAAACCAATGGGTGTAATGAAAGTGGGGGTGCCTCAAGTAGGAAGTCACAACTTACACAAAGCCAGAGAGCTCACAAAAAAAAGAGAAAACCTGTGACTGTAATAAATGTGGAGAAAGCTTCCATAAGAAAACAGATCTCAGACAGCATCAGAGCACACACACAGGAAAAAAAAAAACCCTATGAATGTAATGAATGTGAAAAATCCTTCTTTGTGAAGTCCAACTACAGTGAACATCAGAGAACTCACACAGGAGAAAAACCATATAAATGTAATGAATGTGGAAACTCCTTCTGCCAAAAATCAGCCTTCTCAGTACATCAGAGAATTCACATGGGAGCAAAACCATATAAAAGTGATGAATGTGGGAAAACCTTCTGTGTGAAATCAAACCTTACTCAACATCGAAGGACTCACACAGGTGAGAAACCCTATAAATGTAATGAGTGCTGGAGATCTTTCTGTGTGAAATCCAACCTTGTCGTGCATCAGAGAACTCATACAGGAGAAAAACCCTACAGATGTCCTGAGTGTGGGAAAACCTTCTATGAAAAGTCAGCCCTCACAAAATATGAGCTAAATCACACAGGGGAAAACCCCTATGAGTGTAATAAATGTAGAAAAACCTTCAGCCAGAGGTCCTCCCTCACCAAACATCAAAGGAAAATACACAAGAAGAAAACTCCCATCAATACCCTCCATGTGCAGAAACCTGCATCTTCAAGCCAAATTTGTCAAACATCAGCAAAATCACAGGGCAGAAACCCTAAGGTGTTAATATATGTAGGAAAGTATTTATTTATAGGTTATAATGAATAGGAATTAGAAAATTAGCATAGAAGTGAAACCACATGAATGCTTTGAACATGTGAAAGCTTTCAGCAAGTATTCAGAGCTGAGGAGGAAAAATTAATTTTAAGATATATGAATACAAAAATATTCTTGTGCATAAAGTGTTTAAGTAGAAGTCATCTTTCTGATGTAATATCAGAGTAATTAAAAGATTAGAAAATGTCTTGTTCTTAATAGAATGTGAAACATGATCCTTTCATAAAACTGTGAATTATTTAAGTCATTGACAATAGCGTTAAATATGTGTGAAGATTTCCTGAAGTATATTGGGCTATATATGATTACATAGGATATGAGTGCGCTGTATAACATAAATTATGTGTATGTTAGATTTACACATGGGAACCCACCACTGTCTCTGAATCACAACAATACAACATATTTTATAAGTGAAAATTGAACAGTCACACAACTGTGGCCCAACAATTCCAATTCTAGATACATACCATAAAACAATAATTCTCAACTGGGTTTCCTAATGTGTGTTTGGAAATATGTTGTTTTGATTGTCAACATGATTGATGTGCTACAGGCTCTTGGTAGATGGGAGGCCAGAGATGCTAACTTCCCTACAATGTATCAGTGAAAGGACAGGAAATAGTCTTATCCAGAATACCAGTAGTTTCACTGCAAAAAAAAAAAATTGCCCTATAGAAATTCTTGCACATCTGCACCCACAAATGTGTACAAGAATGTTTACTGCAACATTGCAATAGTTTTTTAAAAAAAATTTACAGAAAATATCCAGATGTTGATTAACAATAAACTAAATAAGTGTTGGCACAGTCTTATGGTAGAAATAATATACATCAATGAAAATGAAACTCTTATTAAACACATCAGCATAGTTATATCTTAAAGTGATGTTGAATTTAAAAAAGGGAAAAATATAGATACTATGTTATGTTATTTATGTAAAGTTCAAAAACAAACCAAGAATACATTGTTCAGGAATACATACATAAGTAGTAAAATTAGAAAAGAAAGCAAATGGATGATTAACACAAAATCTACAATATCAGTTACATTTTAGGAGGAAGGAGGGGCTTACATTTATGGAGAGAAAAGAGAGCCTTCATGTTTCTTAAATGGGTTATGGATACACAGGTATTTCTTTTATTTTTATTTGTATCATGTGTATGCATATTTATATTCATATATGTATCTCTTAATAGAGTATCTTATTTTCAAGAAAAGCCTTAAAATAATGCATTAGAACATTAACAGAGGTGATGTTTTGTAGTAAGAGTTGTAGTTAAGATTTTTTTTTTACATTTGTCTATTTTTCTGTAGTTCAAATCTCTTTAATGACTGTTTTCAAGTATCCATACCACTAGTCATTTAGGCCTACCCTTGATTTTCTTGATGGTCTTTTTCCATTTGTTTCCTAGTAGAATTTCTCCTAAATTTTTTAAAATGATAAAGTGAACACTGACCAAGATAGAAGAAGTAAGGAAAGTGGAAAAGAAAAGCAAAGTACAGTAGACTTTAAACAAGTAGAAACAAAAAAGAATCAATAATAAAAGTTATTACAAATAATATGAACAAATTGAATTCCTACATCAAAGACACAGATAGTTTAACAGTGAGTTGAAAAACTAAATCCAACTATGTATGGCTTGTAAAAAAAAAAAAAAGTACCTAAAACCAGGTGACAAAGGGAGTTTGAAATTTAAGGGATGACAAAAATAGATCCAGGTTTTTTTAAACATTTATCCGCTAAAGTGTGACAACATAAGGGTAGTGCTGTGATTACCTTGTTTAACCAAACTTCCATGGAGTTGTAGTCTAGGGAATAGGATGGATGTTAAAAGCTGTGGCAGGGCCTGCTAATCACCCTGCAGTAGCCATGGTTCCCTTCTTCCTTTAATAGTAGTACTCCCTAGTGAATGCTGACAGGGCATATGGCCACCCAACTAGACTACATTTCCTATCCTATTTCGCTACCAGAAAAAAAAAGAAGGAAATGGCACCTACCTGTCCATTGTAACTCTCACATGGATTATTTGGAGAGTGTAGACATTTATTTCCAATGGATTTATTGAGAATTTATCCTCCTTTGAATAACAACAAAAAGCTGAAGGCCATCAAATATACAACAATGATGGATTGGCTAAAGGAATTATCACACATCCAAAGGACAGAATATCTTGCTATATGTCAATAATAGAAAACTCTGCTATAGCAGAATTTACTACATGCCAAGCACTATTCTAGAATATAGATATAGATAGATATATTGATATGATAAAAATGTTATTTAATCCTCATAACAACCTATGAAGTAGATACTGTTATCCCCATTTTACAGATGGGTAGACCAAAGCACAGAGGTTAATTTGCCCAAGGGCATATACCTAGTAAGACATGGAGCCAGGATTTGAGTCTAGGAAGTCTGACACCAGAGGCCATGCTCCTAACCATTAGCTTCTTCACTGCTCATCAAAAGTGATCTTGTAGGGGAAAATCCACTGATAGGAAAATATATTCATGTTATGTTTCTTTTCTATCTGCAGTTAACATTTCTAACCTTTCATGGTCTGAGAATCCAGAGGAAACTGAAAAGGGCAGGGCAGGGAAGGGGCTTTCAGGTACGTCTCTTTTTATTGATGGTGCTCTCTTCATTGTCATTTCTAGTGAGAAACTTTTAAAGATACCTTGTTTTGATTTTATTTGGAATGATGAACAGGGCACTAAGCATGGGGCAACTTCTAATCTTGACATTGCCTCTAACCAACTGTGTGACCTAGTCTAGCCCAATTTTATTAATCCTTAAATTGAGGAGGCATATTTAGATAATACTATAATGCCTTTCCATTTTTATCATTCTGAACTTTGTATGTCAATCTATAGGGCAATCAGCACATCCTTAGAGGCCGAAGGCAATGATGGATATAGTATGAGTGTAGCACCAGCTTAGGTCAGGAAAGAATGAGTGGAAAATAAATAAAGCATGTGTCTTCAGAGAATGTCTTTAGAGAAGGTTGAGACTGAATTTTCTCAGCTGCACCTGCTGACTCTCTCCTGTCTTGAGTGTGCCCTCACAGACATCCAATAAGCCTTTTCTTGTGGAGTCTTCCCCCTGCCAAGCCCCTCAGCTTAGCTCCCTGCTTTGAGAATTGCCCTGAAACGTCCATTGGCACACAACTCAAGTGGGTCTCTGCATGGGGTAACACCACGCAAATTTTGCACACTCTGAACAGAAGGATCAAGAATTGCTTATAGCCCAGCTCCTTGCCTGGGGCTTTTCCACACCTGCCTAGAGCTCTGGTGTGAGGTCTCACTGAATTTCTATTCCTGGAGTTTTGTCCTTGTAACACACAAGATACATTGCATTCACATGGAGTCAGTATCTGAGCCCCAAGCACAGCTTCACTTTAGACAGGACCTCCCACCTGATAACCTATTTGTCTCTGATAGTACCCATTGGCCCCTGAATCTCACACTGGCTTCTGGTAAACTCGAACCAGGGGTGCTAGGAACAAATAAAGGCCAGAGAGTACATAAGACACCCAGAAGCTGCAGAAATATAGTGTCCTCCAAAACACCAAAGAAACATCAAGAAATCCTGGGCCTAGGAGGCTGGAGTCCATTTTTATTTAACATTTATTTCTTGTGGAGTCATTAAGGTCATTTTGTGGGACTGAGTGCTGTGAATAATTCAAAGACAGTTAGCATCCAAGTCTGGGTTTTTTGGCAATATGGCGTATTGGCAAAGCACAACGTGCGATGGAAAGCAATTCTGGGATTTAACCCCAGCACTTCTGCCACCTACCTGTTGATGTTGGATGACTGACTTCACTTCTCTGAGCATCCATTTTCTTATTAAAATAAAGATGACATAAAATAATAAGATATCAATACTAACCTTACAATAAATATGTTAATTGGTACACTTAATTAAAAGAACCTAGCAAAGTATCTTGTGTAATAGAAGCAGTGGCTTTTATTAGGATCTTGTTATGCAGCAAGCAAGGGTATACATGCCGTATCACATTAATCTCCGAAACAGGCCTACAGGATAAGTTCTCTTTCCATGATCATCTCAAAGATGAGGATAACAAGGCTGATAGATATTCCTTAAAATTACTGGAGTTAGACCAGGCATGGTGGCTCACTCTTGTAATCCCAGCACTTTGGGAGACTGAGGCGGGCAGATCACCTAGGTCAGGAGTTCAAGACCAGCCTGGCCAACATGGTGAAACCTGGCTCTACTAAAAATACAAAAGTTAGCCAGGTGTGATGGCGCATGCCTGTAATCCCAGCTACTCTGGAGGCTGAGACAGGAGAATCACTTGAACCTGGGAGGCAGAGGTTGCAGTGAGCCGATGTCGTGCCATTGCACTCCAGCCTGGGCAACAGAGTGAGACTCCATCTCAAAAAAAAAAAAAAAAAAAAATTTACTGGAGTTATCGAGAAGCCCAGATCCCATAGAGAGTTTGTACTCTCCTTGCCTCTTCCAAATCAGCACAAAATATTCATGTTCTTCCTAGTTGCTCTCAAGGAACTTACCTCTTAGAGTACCAGGCTGCATGGTGGCCAGGCTATACTTGGCAAGAGCAGAGTTTCTAGAATCATCTCTTGTGCACTTTGATGCACATTCCTGGCCTCCCATCCAGTACTCTATTCCAGAGAAGGAAGCAAATGCCCACTCTCCAGCCCTGCACCCAGCACATAGGGAGCCAAGGCCTTCTCTTGCCTGCCATTCCCTTGAGACCAAGTCTAGGACAGCCTGGGAACACTTAATAAGATTCCTCAATGTTTTGTTTCTACCTTACAGCAGCACAGGTCAATTCCACCCCCAATCTCTCGGCAAAGGTACTTTGCAAGACACTTTCAGTTTGGTTCCTAGGACCGATACTTTTGACGAACAAAGATGTGGAGTCTCCCCCATAAGGCTGTAGACAGAGCAAGAGCAACCTCTTTTCCTAAAATGGAACTGTATGTGTGCAGAAGGAGCTACTGAACATCTGTCCCTGGTGACTTCCTCTGGGCATTGCAAGACCCCATTTCCCATAAATCTCTGTGGCACCTTTATTTGTGATTATGCAAGAGTTTCTGCTTTATTGGGTACACTGAACGCTTGCTCTCAAGGTATTTTTTTTTCTTTCCCATAAATGCAGGATTCTTTCAGTACCCACAGAGATTATAATTAGAAATGGTTTAAACACAATCTCTGTGTGTGTCTGTGTGTGTGTGTGTGTGTGTGTGTAAAATCAGGAAGTTGCCACAAGGTATAAATCAATTCATCTATTAATATACATGAGACACTTAAATAAAACTCTAGGAAATGGAATCCAACAAGGTACTGAGAGAATAATAACCATAATCAGTAGCATTTCTTTTGGGAATGCAAAACAACAACAAAAGCAATCATTCAAAAGGAAAGCATTGGTCACCTTTGGAGGATGCTTTGAAAACTGGAAAATAAAGGGAAAGAATCATGAATTCTGCCTTTCCTGTATGAACTGTTCCTCAGGGTAACCAAATAATTGTGAGGGGAATGTTTCTCTTGCCAGAAGTATTACAACCAGCAAATGAAGAAATCATGTTAAAATAAGTATATTACCATTTTGTAATCCCTAATGCATTAGTGGAGCTGGGCAATGATCATCAACAGCTGCTAACATTAAAAAAACAAAAACAAAAACAAAAGTGGGAGGCCATGCACAGTGGCTCACACCTGTAATCCTAGCACTTTGGGAGGCCGAGGCAGGGGAATCACTTGAGGCCAGGAGTTCAAGACAAGCCCAGGCAACATGGCAAAATACTGTCTCTGCTAAAAATACAAAAAAAATTAGCTGGGCGTGGTGGTGCACACCTGTGGTCTCAGCTGCTTGAGAGGTTGAGGTGGGAGAACCACCTGAACCCAGGAAGTCAAAGCTGCTGTAAGCCAAGGCCACTGTAGTCTAGCCCTGGCTACAGATGTCTCAAAAACAATTTGTCTCGAAAAACGTGGGGGAAGCAACAATAATTACGTACCTTCTGATGAAAGAATGTACCACCATATATTCATGTTCAAAACTTGCATCTAAATCTGATCAAGGCCAGGTGTGATGGTTCACACCTGTAATCCCAGCACTTTGGGATCACCTGAGGTGGGCGGATCACCTGAGGTCAGGAGTTCGAGACCGGCGTGGTCAACATGGCCAAACCCCATCTCTACCAAAAATACAAAAATTAGCCAGGCGTGGTGGCACATGCCTGTAATCCCAGCTACTTGGGAGGCTGAGGATGGAGGATCACTTCAATCTGGAAGGCAGAGGTTGCAGTGAGCCAAGGTCATACCACTGCAACTCCAGCCTGGATGACAGAGTGAGACTCCCTCATAAATAAATAAATAAATCTGATCAAGCCTCTGGTACCAATTTACATGAAATGACAGGAACAAAGGAACATGTTGCATGACTTCTCAGAGATGTAATCAGCAAGCCTAGGTGTGGGGAAGTAGGACAAAGGATCTGGTTCCTTAACAAATAAAAAGGGGAACAGGAAAAGCAACTGAATAATATATAGATTTTAAAGCCTCAGAGATCTTTACACATTCTGATACAAGGAGGAGGAGCTTCATTCCCTCCCCTTGAGTATGGGCTGCACTTGGTGACTTATATTTAGTGAATAGAGTATGAAAAGAGGAAAATAGTACCTTCATAGTGAAGAGACCTGGCAGACACTACCAGAACCAAGTGATAAGGTTAATGACACCAGTGACAAGTCACATGGATATCATACGCTCCCTGATATGATTAAAAGCATACATCACCTCCATGATATTCTTTCCCAAAATGTATAACTCTAGTCTAATCATGAGAAAACATCAGACAGACCCAAATTGAGGGACATTCTACAAAATACTTGACCAGTACTTTTCAAAAGTTTATAGAAACTACAATCATATATATGAAAATTATATTTAAAAACATAAGAAAATGTGTGTAGGACATATGCACCTGACAACTAAGGAGATGGTTGTATGTAGGCTACTGCAATAGAGGGAAGTTCATTAATTAGAAACATGTTTTAAAAAGAGGACTTGGGGTTTTATAACACAAGGGAGTCATTAAGGGAAGGGTGATCTAAGTCATATAGGGAAGGCGTGTTTTTTGCAATTAGCCATTTCCTGAAACACACAAGAGTGGGGCATTTCTTATCCATTCCTATTTTCCTGGAGTGAATAGCTCAGGTAAAGTTGAATGCATCCATTCAAAAGAAGAAACAACACTGTACTCCAGCCTGGCGACAGAGTAAGACTCTGTCAAAAATAAATAAATAAGAAGAAAACAAGAAGAAGAAGAGGAAGAGGAGGAAGAAGAAGAAGAAGGTGGGGGAGGAAACAAATGTCAGATAATCTCACTTCCTGGAAATAATAACGTTTAATGTGGTTGTTTTTCAAATCTGGAATTATTAAAGAACTACATCTTATGATTATCTCTTCACTCAGCAATATATTTTTATAATGTAACTGTCTCAAATGTCTGTAACACTCAGGGAAATAAGCTCCCATTCAAAAGCGTAGTAAACATAAATATACCTGGGTGAAGCACCAGAGGATATAAACAGGCAATTTGCAGAATGACAACTCTCAAAAACTAACACTCATATGAGAGGTGCTCACAAATGTTAATAATCCAGGAAATGCAAATTGATGCAACAGTGAGATATAATTTTACACCTATTAGATTGGCAAATATTAGGAAGTTCAGTAAAACTGAGTGTTGCGGGGATGTGGGATTACAGCAACCTCATGCACTGACCTCCTAATTGGACAAATTGAGGAATCCCCCAGTGTGTATGGCTTGATGGAAAACAGGCTCCAGCTTCCACCAGGGCTGCTGCAGGATGCTGTACATTTTCTTTCCACACCTGCCGACAGGCAGGGCCTGGGCCCGCTCCCTGCGACTGGCCACTCAGGTTAGCCTTCCCAAGAATTTGAATCAGGTGCTAAAGGTACGAAGACCCCAGAAAAGTTAGCGATTCTTCTCAGAAGAAGCAATGGACTCCAGCACCCAGCAGTATGGCTTTGAGTGTCCAGTGTGTTTCTGCCTGTGGCAGGGTCCTCCCAGGACTGCTTGTGTGCACAGCTTATCAGTGTTCTTCCCAGCTTGGAGACCCTGGGTCCCCATCCGGGAGTGCTTGGTTCTTCAGCTTTCAGGAAGATGGAGTAGACACGCTTCTCCCTATTCCTCCCAGTAAGGACAACTAAAAATTCTGGACATTTGGGAAACTTTAAGCCATTATTTCTTTGAATACCTTTTCAGCCTTGTCTTCTTTCTTTTCTTCTTCTGCAACTTCAGTGACACAAACATTGGGTCTTGTGATAGTCCACAGGTCCCTGAAGCTCCGTTCATTTTTTTCCATTTATTTTCTCTCTGTTTTTCAGTCTGGGTGGTTTCTCTAGTAATAGTTACCAATTCAGTGATTTTTTTTTTTCCTCTCTCTCCTCTATTTGGCTATTGAGCCCATCCATTTATTTTGGTTATTGTATTTTTTCAGTAGATTTAGTTTGTATATAAAGCAAGTATAAGAATATTCTGAAAAGTGGAGAAAAGAAGGCAGACCAGCCAGGAGACTTGGGACCATCATAGTGCGTTCTCCTGGCTTTCATTTTGTCTCATATATCCCAGACTTGAATTGAAGAAGTTCACGACCTGGAAGCTCTAGTGTTTGAGATGGGGGGAAAAGTCCCAACAAAAACCTACTCCCTCTAGACAAAGCAAAAACAAAACAGAAAGCAGAAAAGGGGCAGCCTTACAAGATAGAAACCCTTGAGACAATAACCTTTCTACTCCAGCCAAACACCACAGAAAAGACTGTGGCCCACCCACACTCACACAAGCAAAGGCAGAGTGGAGATCCTAGAATTCCACCCACACCAGGCTGTAAAGAGGCACCTCAACTCTCCCCATGGGCTCCCTGCAATATCAGTGAAGACAGTGGGGGAGCCTGGACTTCCGCTCCCATCCAGCAGTTACGAGGTGCCCCTCTCTGCTCTGCTGGGGCAGTGTCTCAGAAAACCCAGAGGAGGGTCAGGACTTTCACCACCAACTAGTGGTAATGAGGCCACCACCACTGTGGTGTCAGTGGAGGCCCCTTGGGGAGCAGTCATAAGCCATCCCACCCAATTGTCCCCCAAGTCAGGGAGGTCTTAGTAGAGGCCTACGGAGAAGCTGGAATTCCCATTCCCACAACCAGTAACGAGGAGAGAAAAGAAAGAGGGTGAAATGGAATGAAACATCAAGGATGAAATGGGATATCACTACAGACTCTGTATACATCAGAAAGATAGTAGGGAATACTACAAACAACTCTACATACACACATTTGACAGCTTAGATTAAACAAGCCAATTCCTCAAAAACTATATCTCACCCAATATGAAATGGAATTTTAAAACTGAATTTGTAATTTTAAAACTAAAATTTAAAAACATCTCCTAGACCAAGAGAGTTCACTGGAGAATTCTACCAAAAGTTTAAAAAAGAATTAACACTAATTCTACAAAATCTCTTCCAGAAAATTGAAGATGAGGGTAGACTTTCCCATTTATTTTATGAAGCTAGTACTAAATCTGATACTCAAACCAAAAAAAAGATAGATAGTACAAAAAACAAAAGACTAACATCATGAATATAGATGCAACTTTTTTTTAAATTAGCAAGTAGAATTCAACAATGTAAAAAAAAGTATACACAATGACCAAGTTGAGGGTGGCTTGTGCTGGCCTGCAGGTGCCCCTTGCTGTGAGCAGCCTGGGTGCCATGGACAGTGGCAGGAGGCTGATAGGCTCTGGGGCAGAAGGGGGCAGATCCCCAGTGAGGCCCCACCTTCAGGCCAAGGAGGGCCTGAAGGCTGGGGTCGGGCTACCAGCCCCACAGACCAGAGTGGGAGCTTGTGGTGCCTTTTCTGGGCCTGCCCATGGCTACCCATGGACCAGCTGGCATACACTTTCCCCCCTCTGAAGCCCATAATACCCCTGGGCTCAACCAGAGCTGAGCAGACACTGGGATGACCAACAGCAGAGAGGAGCTACCCACTCCAGAGCCTACTCTCTGCTGAGAGCTGCAGAGACAATGGGACCACCTGCAAGCAAAGAGGAGCTTCCCACTCCAGGGTCTCCTCTTTGCTAGGAGCTGAACACTCATCAGGACACCCTGGCTGTGGAAAGGAGCTACC